TCCTTGACTGAACCCTCAAAGATTTCAAAACTTGAACCAATAAGCAAGGGAAGAACTTAAAATTTTGTCTAATCAACACATTTTTCTTCTTCTTCTTCTTCTTTTCTTCTTTTCCTATAATAAAAGTAGGGGTTCAGCCCCTATAGTTTTTGAATTTTCTTTCATTTATTCTTTTTCTTCTCATAAAGTATTGATTTTCTAGACTTAAAAATGAAATTTATACTTCTCTTATGAAAATTATGGATAATTATTAAGGAAAGATCGTTATGGAACCTAGGGAACTACCCTAGGATATATGTTTTTACTTAAAAAAGATCCATTGCGTAGGCACCTGCCTAGGTGACTAGGCGCCCCCCTGTTGCCTAGCCTCACCTTAGTGCCTTGAAAACTATGATCTAACCTTTATTTGTCAACAAAAAAAGTTCCTTGGATATTTGATATGATGCTTTACAGAACTACTTTGAGCCTCGATGCTTGCAGCTTTGCTAGGATCTTGTAGATGCTTCCTATTAAATTGATGGGATGGAAATACTTGATGTCTGCTGTTCCCCCGTTTTAGGTACTGGGGAAATGAATGTGTTGTTGAGAGACCTTAGTAGAACCATTCTTGTGGAAATCTGCCAATGCTTTATGAAGATTTTAGTGTCCCAATTGTTCTTTTAGAAATTCAAGTGGAAGCCATCATGTCTTGGGGCCTTGTGTCTGTTAAAACTATTGATAGCTTCTCAGACCTCTGTTTTGCTAAACAAGGCTTCAAATGCAGCTTGTTGGGCTTATGATAATTGTTTGAACTGAAAAGCATCATGGTGGGTGTCCTAAGCCACTTATCCTTGTATAAGCTTTTTCAAAAAATGCACCACAATTCATTTACATCCACTAGATCATTAGCAAGATCGTTGCCATGTTATGATATTTGTTGTTATTCTAGGATTTCCTAGTTTTTTGTAAGAATGTTGTGTTGTTGTTTCCCTCTTTTAACCAATTTTTTAAAAGGCATGGGAGGCGTACTCCTGGAGGCACACCTCCAGGTGAGGTGGCCCCAAAATGCTCTAAGGCGTATGCCAGAGGTGTTGATGCCTTTGATGCATATGCCTTATACGCATTTTGCATAACACATGTTAGAGGCATACACCTCATACATGCCTCATACCACAAGACAAAAAAAAAAAGAAAACAGAAAAGCTTGAAAGGAATGGAAATGGAAGGGAAGGATAAAAGAAGGAAAGAAGGAAAGAAAAGGAAAAAAAAAGAAAAGGGAAGGGATGGAAAGAGAAGAGGAAATAAAGTTTGGGCCTGAGGCTCCACCTTTGGACCCCCTTGGCTTGGGCCTTTGCCCCCAGATCCTTCCAACACCTTTTTAATGCAGCCCCAAAACAAGATGAAATCCTTCTTCCTCTTCTTCTTCCTCCCCTCTTTTGAACTATGCCTCATGCCTCCAGGTAGTGGAATGCCTTGTTTTGCACATCCACATTTTAAAACACTGATTTTAACCACTAACCCAATCTTCTTACCTCAGTTTGAAGATGCTAGTATGCTCTTCTTGTGAACTTGCTCTAGTTAAAATCTCTTCTTGTGAGATGCTAGTATGCTCCTCTTTCCTGTCAATTTCTGAAACTCTCTTTAAGCAAGCTTCTTTCAACTTAGGACTTACAAGTAAGCAAGCGTTTCTCAAAACCTTGATGTTTCCCTTCAAGCTGTGAATCTTCTTTGTAGAAACATGACTATTGCTGCCTTGAGATTTTTAGAAATTCCACCAATATCTAATTTTATTTTTGAAGCCCTCTGCTTCTAGACAATGATTTTCAAATAGGAAAGGCCCTAGGGCTTGAAAGAAAACGCCTTCAATCTAAAGGAGTGGCAAGTGATTAGAAGATGTTGAGGAAGAACTTCTTGATGAGAAGCTAGAAAGTGGATCTCCAAATTAGTATAAATGAGAAAACAATCCAATTACTTAAGGAGTTAAGGGTTGAATTTGCTTGATTGTCGGTCTAGGTATATCTTGCTCCCCTCAGAGGTAGATACATCAAGTCATGTTGATTTACAAAAGAAGTTAATCCTTACACTCACATGCTGGTAGTTCTCCTTGAGGTTTTCTTCTTCTTCTTCTTCTTTTCTTTTTGTTTTTTTTTCTTTTTTGAGAAAGAAGGTAAAGTATTGTAATATTCAAAAAGCAAAAAAGTCCACTCTGCACAACGAGGAGCCTTTCTTGTTGTCAAAAGTAAATATGATGGTGTTGAAATTTCCCCTTGTGTAGCAAGGAAGAGATGACCTAGATTTGATGTTATATACTTCCTCCCAAAGCAAAGGTCTTAGAGCATTTTTATTAGGCCTGCAGGTAATGGTTACTTAATGGAAAAAGCCACCCTCAAGCAATAACTTGATAGATTCAGAAAATTCATCTATCCACTATGACACTTTATAAAGTGTTAAATTGTCCTAGATTATCATGAGGTCCTCAGTTGAACCAGTAGCCTACCTGAAGCACCTATCAAATGTTTTGTCACCTTAAATGCCATCAACATGATAAGGTCTTACATGTTGAAGTGTAATCTTTTGAAGGAGAAGGATATCCAACTTCTAGTTGTGAAGAAATGAACTGATTACCAATCTGTGATGTAAAGAGAGTCCTTAGATATTCAATGAGATTATATGAAGGCTAGTCATGTTCAATTAGCACAATCAGGTCTTACATCTTTTCCTGCTCCAGTCTTCTCCCTTGAAGCTTCCAGCCTTGTTTTTGAGGCACCTGGTGAGGCAGAGTATCCCCTTGTTCCATCGTTGATCACATTTTTTCGCTTAGCGTTATGCTGGCTTCTGCAATGCTCTATTTCCATAAGAAATCCTTTTGCATCATCTTCTACCTTTAAATGGCATGCCAGGGTACTCCTCAAATGATAAAACTTTCAATAGCACCGGTTTGATAATTAAGGAGGCCTGTTAAGTCAGCTAATCGAGGTTTGCATAAGGCAAATATCAAAGCGCTAGGGTTGGGGATTTCATCCACTGCTAGAAGAGAGGCTTCAAGTGCTTCATCAGTGGAGGCTAGATCTCAAGTCTCGACAAACTGGGATGCATCACTTTCAAGATGTTCAATCATGGTAGGGGTGATGGAGAGAGAAAAATCTTCACGAAGAGGTAGGGTTTTGGAAGAGAGAACCATAGGTTGTTTGCCTTTTTCCTTGGTCAGATCTTGTGCAGACTTGTTGGTGGCCTCTACTCATTCATGGATGATGATGCGTGATGGTAGAAAGGGCGACTTTATGTTGTTATCAGTTGGATTGAGTTGGAGAGCATCTTTGGTTGAGTTGAGATTATTGGGGAGCAACATAGTTGAAGTGGCTAATTTCAGTCATATGGTGATGGTATAGAGGGTTCACTTAACCTTGACCACCACATTTATAGTCTAAGAGAGAGGGTTATGAAAAACAACCTTCATATGGACCCATTTATAGGTAGCAAGCTCCTGTAAGCTATCAGTAGTGCTGATGAAACCACCAAGGTGTCTCTAATGGCATGTAAGTCTATTGGACACCAAATGAAGAGCAGAAGGCCAAAATCTCTGATCCAGAAGTCTTTAGGCTTTTTTTTTTCTTCTGCATCATCTTTGTGAAGGTTGTTCCCCACAAGACCAGTTGTAATAGTAAACACTTCATCTTCCATTGCCTACCTGTAAGGATCTTGTTGGCCTCCTTGTGCGAAGATAAATTGAATGGGAATTGTCCTTGTACAAGAGACTTTACATAGACTCCCCTTTGGATCTCCATGTTGAGGATGCCCATCTACTTAACTCCTCACGTTTGATTTGCTCAGAGTCAAACTGATTGGCAAGACAGCATTTGAAGAATCTCTCTGGCAGAGACACTCTCTTGGTTAGTGCTGCCTAGTATTCATTCTCCTAGTGCTTGGGGGAAGCGACACTAGGCTATTGTCATCTTGCTGTCACTATTGCCATCATCACCATTACACTAGGCTATTGTCATCTTGCTGTCACTTTGACATTGAGCGCTGAATGACAGACAAAATAGGATTCATGTAGCTGACCCCATATAGTTGGGACAAGGCTTAGATGTTGATGATGATATAGCCTATGGACAGTGACAGAAATTGCAATTTCTTAATAGAAGCTTATTTTCTTCATTTGGGGAATTGTATTCTCTATTCTTGTGTGGCTTGGGCAATGCTATCAGTAGGGCTGTCAACGGGTCAGGTCTGGGCCGGAATAAGTTGGAACCAGAACCGACCCAACATGAAATGCTGAGGACCCGGACCCAGACCCGGTGGGGTCTGTAATTTTTGGACCTGGAACCGAACTGATGGTTCTCGGGACAATCGGGTCAGACCTGACAGACCCAATTATAGTAAATAAAAAATAATTATTTATGTTTAATATATTAAATATTCTTTATATATCATACATTATTTAATATATATATATATATCGGGTCAGGTCTGAATCGGTTCGGGACTAGGTGGAACCGGTTCCAAACCGATAGTAATCAGAACCCTATTATCAGGACTGGGAGCCGACCCGCCGGTTCCAGTTTCCAGAACCAGAACTGGCCCAATCGGTTTGGGTCTGTCAGGTCAGACCCGGCCTCTCATTGACAGCCCCAGCTATGAGGCCTATTATCACTTTTTTTTTGATAATATCTTCTTGATGTTTGATCAATTTTGACTGCTACTACCTCCTTTTTTGGTTTTTATGTTGTTTTCTTTAGATTACAATGTCTGTTGATGGTTAATCACTATATTGGGGTTAACTAGAAAACAGTCTGGTAAATTGTAGAGCAACAATTGCTCAAAATCAGTTGCTACTTTCTCCAAGACATTTTGCATATCCAGTCATTTCTTCTACATCAGCACTTTGTACTTAAGCTCCATTTTGTTTTCTTTGTCAGTGTCTAGCGTGCATTACTTTTCTCTTTTCTCTTATAGCGGTGTAGATATTATTTGTTTAACAAGATGTCAGTTTAATAGTCAATGTGAAATTTTATTTTTAGGGGGGAAACACACAGTTATGGCTTGCAGGAATCCTTTGTTGCTGATGAATTATTCCAGGGTCATGAACACTCTTTAGATGATGTGATTTGGGCCAACCACTCCTTGTTTCCTTCAGTTAAGGTACATGGATTATATACTTTTTTCTATTTATTATTATTTTTTGTGGTATATTACCTTTGAACCTTGAAGGTGGAACTTCTGTTTTCTTTTCTTGTTCACACAACTCCATTCAGACTTAATTTAAGAGGAACTGTATTATCCAATTCCTGTTTATGGTTACATGTTCTTTTCCACATTCTCTTTTTTTTTTACCATTTTTCACCTACTGAGGAGATATATTTTAGATGGTTGGGGTGTTTTCTGTTAATGAGGTTTGGGGTAGACCAATTCCTCCTAGGGTTGGTAGTTTTTGCTGAGAAGCCTATCTGGAAAGATTCAACACTGGTGATCTACTCCAAAAGAAGAGACCCAATACTTGCTTGTCGCCTCACTAGTGTGTTCTTTCCAAAGCTGATGGGGAGACTGGTTTTCACCTACTGGTGTCTTGCCAATTTGCAAAGTCAATTTGGGAGTGAGCTTTCTCCCTCTTTGGGTGTAGTTGGAATCCTTCATCAAACTTGCAAAGTCTATTCTCCCCTTCTTTTTTCAGGTGGCATAGGAAAATGGGAAGGACTATGTGGAGAGGTTTGAGGGCTGCAGTATGCTCCAGGATTTTCTCAGAAGTAGAGAGAGGTGTTGAAGAACTGAGGGCTCTAATCCATATAAGGGTTGTATAGTGGTTGAAGTCCCTAGATTCACAGATTATACAGTGGATGACATGTTGAGGAAATGGGTTGAGATTGCAAACTGTACCCAGATCAAAACAGTTACGAGTTTAACTTGGACCCCCCCACCTGCTGGATGCTTAAAACTAAACTTTGATGGGAGTAGTAGGGGGAAGCCTGAACACCAGGGATTGGGGATGTCTTTAGGGATGAGAATGGGGTTGTTTCTGCTTTGTTCTCAGGCCCAATTGGTGTGGGTGACTCCCTCAGAGCTGAGATCTATGCAGTTATGGAAGGAGTCTAGAAAGCTAGGGAGATGAATATCAGAAAACTCATGATTGAAGGGGACTCGGAGGTGGTGGTAGGGTGGCTGAACAAAGACAACAGTGGCTTATGGAATTACAGCAATGTGAGGAGGAAATTTAAATGGTTGGTGCGAGGGATGGAAGTTAAGATTAGTTGGGGGCTCAAATTGTTTCTCCTTTTTCTTTTTTCTTTTCTTGGGGGCTCAAATTGTATTTGGAAGATAAGAAAGTTTGTCTTCCTCTTTGTAATTATTCATATTTTGAATTAATGAATTTGCTATTGATAAGAAAAAAACTGCTAAACATTAATGGTAGTTTCATCTTTTAACATGTAGAGAGTTTTTTTTTTTTGGTGGCTAGATATTTCAGTATTTATCTTTTTTCTTTGGCTGGGACTACTAGTACTTAATTATAGAAAATAAATGTTTGGTTAAGTTGGACCTTGAGTCTTCAAAATCTTTTGCTTTTATGGACTATAGAGACTGTTGACTACCTAAGAAATACAACTTTAGAGAGAAGGTTTTAATTTTTCTTAAAATACTATAGATTTTTTGTTATAAAATAAAAAAATTATTAGAGTTAAAGATTACAGGATGGAGATTCAGATAATTCCCCAAAATTCAGCAATTGCGAATAGAAATATAATAACAAATGCAACAACATAACATTCATCAAGTAGAACATGATGAGTATTTTAGAGCTTCATTCTGGAAGAACTCTTTCTACATCTTCAAACTCTGGATGAATTGTTTGTCAATCAAGGATGAAGGATCTGATATTAGCGCAAAATCATCTAAAGTTTCCTTTTACCTTAGAGCGTCCTTCATTTTTTCGTTTTCAAATACTTTACTGTAGATGGGATGGTGGCAAGGTTCAAAATATTGATACAGTAGATGGGATGGTGGCAAGGTTCAAATACCTTACAGTAGGGGTTTATCGGACTGTATCGTGAGTTGATCCCATTTTTTTAGTTTTTTTTCTTAAACCTGGTTCAGAGGGGTCGGTTTAAGGGCTACCCCCTGAACCAGGTTAGACCCCAAAACACCCCCCTGGAGGGGCATATTGGGAAGCTCCTGATACGGCCCGATACGTACCGAAATTTTGAACCTTGGATGGTGGTGCTGTAGTATTTAGTCTTTTTCGCATCTGACAAATGATGCTTTCATGGAAAAATGTATGGGATTGAGCAGGTCTGTAAACGGCTTCTGAAATTGAGCTGAACACAAAAAGCATAAAGTAAACTGTAAGCCTGTAATAACTGCAAATTGGCTCTTATTTCTTCTTCATTGTTACATGAAGTCATCTGGAAACCTATCTCTTCATGTTGAATACTTTCAATGTAAGGGAGAATATGAATAATGAAAATAGTGTAATTTATTCTCTAAATTCTGTTCAGACTTGGGTTGGTAGGTGTGACATGTGACTTTGTGGATGATGGTTGATGATCAAATAATCTTTGGTGTACGCCCCAAAGATCAATGCTAGAAAGAAGAATAATAGAACCACAGAAAAGGAAATAATGCTTTATTTCTCAACTAAATCTGTTCCCTATAGTCAGCCTTTGCACATCTGTTACAGATGGCTTGCCTACTAAATTAGAGTCAAAATAGAAAAAGAAGTATAGATATGCACAGAGAATAGAAACTCAGATGATAGAATCTCAAGAATTATAAATCCAGAAAATATAAAGCCAGAAGAAAGTAAACTAAAAAGTAAGCGCCTCATAAGATATCAGGACTTTTGTATGATCCATTTCTCAGGGAACATGTTCACCTTTTCAACATCTATCTGCTGCACTACACCAACTTTCTAGAGAGAGCAGTCATGCACAAAATAATGTAGAAAGACGTAACTGAGAAGCTTTCCTTTCTGTGTTTGCTCCACAATATTGCATCTTGGGCTAAACGAGAGATCTTTAATTTATCCTTTAATGGCCTTCTAAGGCTAGGGAAAACCTGGTCATTATGGTCTTAAGATATTGAATGATAGATGTTTCTAGAGATGATTAGTTACAATCTAGGTTGCGTTTGACGTAGTTTCCCAATGTCACTCTATTCATAATTACACAACTTATATGACTACTTTGATATGATTTATTTGTTTCTTCAAATTTTGGATGATTTTTGCATAGTTATACAAGTTATGTGACAAAACCTCATAGTCAATATCGAAATGAAATTTGTCAAAAGACATATGAAGGGAAGATATTCTTTGTTAATGCATGCTAAGATGTCATGGAGAACCTTGATAACTATTTCCTCATAGAAAATCATATCTTGTTTGCAATTATGACTTGATTTCATTATATCCTATGCTTCTATTTCTTTATATGTTACTTCATGTTCCTATTCATATCCTCTGCAAAGTTTGATCCAGTGTTTTAAAAGGCGTGGAAGGCGTCCGTCCAGGCGGGGCGCCCCAAGACGCTCTAAGACTTATGCTAGAGGCACTGACACCTCTGAGGCATACGCCTCAGGTGAAAGAGGCGTGCGACTCATATGCTTTTCTCATGAGGCATACTCCTCATGCGCCTCATGCACACCTTATGTAAAAAGACATAAAAAAGAAAAAAAGAAAGAAAAAAAGGAAAAAAGGAAAGGAAAGGAAAAGAAATGGAAGGGAAAGAAGAAGAAAGAAGGATAAAAAAAAAGTGAATAAAGAAAGAAAAGAAAAGGAAAGGGACGAGAAGAAAAGATAAGGGAAAGAAAGTGGGTTGGGAGCTAAGCCTCCGAACCCCTTGGCTGGGGGTAGGGGTGAACCAAAAAATCGACAATCGAACCGACCGGTATATATATATATTTATATTTTACATATATTTATGTATATCATATTTATTATATTTTCTATACATTATAAATTAATAAATATGCATTATATAGAAATATATATTTATAATATATAATATATAATATATTATTTATTATTTAAAATATAATATTTTATATATATATATATCTAGTTTTTTATCATATATTTATATATTTTCTATAATATATATTGTAGAAAATAAGCCCACGGTTAATCGAACTGGTCAACCAGTTAATTGATCGGCTTTGGTTTGGTTTCGGTCGGTAACCCCAGTTCGGTTTCAAAAATAAGCCCACGGTTCATTTAACCGAACCTTGAGCACCCCAGCCCCTCTTTCCAATGGAACCCAATTTGCTCCGCTCTGGCTCACTTGCCAACGCTTCGACAAGATCCCCCCTTTTAACTAGTGTTATGCATCTTTATTCTTCTTAATATACAAGATTTTTATTAAAAATAAAGAAAAATGAGATTCTTCTGCCTCTTCTTCCTCTTCGTTCTTCCTTCTCATCCCCCGTCCTCTTAAGGAGGCTTATGCCTCCTTGTGTTCGGGATGTTTATGCCTCTTACATTCTGAACTATGCCTTGCACCTCTAGGTAGTGGAACATCTCATGTCACGCCTCCATGTTTTAAAACATTGGTTTGATCATTTTTTGAAATTGGATTTATTGTGTTTTAACTGGTAAAGTATTTCTTATATTTGAAGAAAGTTGGCTATCTTGCAGGATCAGATTGCCCCATTTTTCTCTTCTATTTTCTTGCGGAGGTTGCTTCGTCCTGGAGTGCAGCAAAGTGTTGCTTTAAGTGCAACCATAAATGATTATAACAAGCTACCATCTGATGTTGTGTTACAGTCGTTAACTGTTGACAGTCTGAAAGGGGAAATCATTTCATTAATTGAGAGTGAGGTGCTCTCTCTCTCTCTCTCTCTCTCTCCCTCCCTCTCCTTCTCCCTCTCTCAGATTACTCACTGCTTGCATTTTGATGTTATTCCAGGGAATCACTGAAAATCCAATTTCAGTAGTCCATTCATGGAGAAAATTTTGTAATCGTTATTTCCATTATTGGTGTGAATACAATAAACCATATGGTTTGCTGGTTGATTCATCAACTGGTACAGTTGGTTTGATCAGGAGAAATTCAATATCCTTATTCCGTCATTTAGAGGATATTGAGCTTCTTATCTATGGTATGTTTGATGTCCTTGTTTTTCTATGGATCCTTACCTTTTGTACTTTAGGGTATATATATATATATATATATATATATATATATATATATATATAATTCGAAATTGTAACTTAGGGGATATGCAGCTGCTTATCTATGATATTTTCATAATTGCCCTCAAAATTTTGCCTTGTTGGCAGGTTGTTTTGATGAATATGGTGATTCTGTAAGTTCTTGGTTAGATTTGCCAGACAATGATCTTGATCGAGAGATTATTTTTGAAGTACTTAGATGTGTTAGCAAAATTAACCAACAATTGGGCAAAGCAGCTGCTTCTGTATTCTACGAGTCACTTGCCAGTGCACCAATTATCTCATCTGAAGTTATTGTTCCTTGCTTACTTAAGATTCTTGAAACTGGATATAGTTCATCAATAGAGGCAGTCAACATATCATCCCTAGTTGGAGCAGATACTGCCTTTGAAAAGGAATTAGCGGATCACAAAAGGCAGAGGGAATTCTCAGTTGATGTGCTGTTGATGATTCATGCTGTCTATAACAAAGCAACCACATGGGACAGAGTTTTGAATGCCATAGAAAACTACCTAAAATTTCTTGTCCCTCGTAAGAGCTTAGAAAGATTGGATTCTAGTGCAGACTTTAGCATGAATACATCCATATTGGTTCAGGCTGCTTCTCAAGTTGCTAAAATGATGTTTGAATCTGCATTTGGCATCCTTCTGCTATTGGGCTATCTTGTCAATATCAGTGGCCAGGTCAGTTTTTTTATTTGTTGAAAGGGATATCTGACAAAGTAGACCAGATAAACCAAAATTTGTGTTATTTACTATAATTTGGGTCCTGGCTGTAATTACATAATATGCTACATAACCTAGTGATTCTAAAGGTAGTACACAACTTGGTTCGTTTAGGTTTCCACTTTCTGACATACGTGTGAATTAAAATTTAATACAATATTAATCTTGTTTTCCTGTTCAGCAGTAGTAATCTGTGAATCAAAATTTAATACAATATTATGTATCTCCTTTATGTAATAATTTACTAGGAGAAAATATTTCTAATGAACCTAGATTTACCTGTTTCCGACTAAATCCTGAGGACTCCAAACAGACATACGATCCAATTGCTGTGTCTCTGGTCAAAGTTAAAAGTCCAAAGGGAAGCGCTTTGTATTCTTTAGAGATAACTACATATGTATATGCTAACTTTTACCTCCTAGAAAAAAAACCTAAGGTCTAATTATGGTTCATCGTGATTGCAAGCAAAATCAACAGAGTTCATATTGTTTCAATATTAATGAAGCAAATCCTAGTTCTTTGTAAAAGAAATGCTTGTAATTAGTGGAAATTCCATGCACTCCATTTTCTTTAAAATAACCTCTAATATTGTTCCTTTGAATTACCCCATAATGCTGTGAAGAGGGCTTAGATTCAAATGACTAGCTTTTGTTAGTGGAGCATCTGCTTCAGAATCCTCCGATCCATCTGAAATATGATAATAAAGAAGTCTCATATCCTTGCAATAATTTTGTCCATCTCCTTGCATACCACACCTGGATATCTATCCATTGGCTGGTTCCAGGTTTGAAGAGCTTGCTGCCCAACTACTTCATAGATTTCTTCCTCATCAGAAGAGTCCCCCAAAGGTTGGTTATAGGTCTCTATTGCTAGCCTGCCCATATTTCCTCCCCTCAGATACATACCTTTTAGTTGTTGCTGGCTCCTTTGTCTTCCAACATTAGTATTGATAGGCCCTAAATGCCCCGACTGCTCCAAACATGAATAGTGATTATATAATGTCTAATCTACTGTTTGATCACTTCAAGTTACTTTCTAGTCCAGTGTTTTAAAAGCACAAGGTGCAAAGAAACACAAGGGGCATTTTGCACCCGAGGTGTGAGGTGCATGTAGAGAAAACTGATGTGGTCCCCACTACTGCACTCGTATGACTATAGTCAGCTGTTGGTTGTTAGTTGGTAGTTGGTAGTTATTTTAGTCAAGTCTTTAAGTCAGTTTTTAATTATTAGTCTTTTATTTTTTTCCATGTAAGCCGTAAGGGTATTTCAGCCCTTTTATCTTTATTTAAGAATTAATATAAACAGTAAGAGAGGGGCGGAAGATCTAAGATCCTCTCTTTTTCTAATCTCCCCTTCAAACTCTTCTTTTCCTCCTCTCCTCTCCTCTTATCCTCTTCTTCTTTCTCAATTTTTCCTTGTTAATTGAACAATAAAATTAGGCCTGATTGTAGTCTCATTCGACTACATGGTATCAGAGCCAACATAGGAGTTCTTGTGGTAGTCTAATATGGCTGACTACATAAGAACTTCCTAGAATTGGAAGCTTTCAGCAAAGCAAGACCATCGGCTGAGTCTTGGAGATTGTTGGCAGTGTGCGGCTAGCATTGGAGGATGTCCAGCAATCAGGAAGTGTCAGACAACAGGAAGAACTTTAAAGATTAGGGTTCAGACTTGATTTTGAAGGTGGCGGCCAGAGTTTCACTGAAGTAAGTTAAGTTTTTGAGATTGATCTATTAAAAGAACACCTTTTCTGGTTATTTTAAGAGGTGCGACTGAGAAATTTCTTTTCTTGGACTGTTCTTTGTGATTGATCTATTAAAAGAGTACTTTTTCTGGTTATTTTAAGAGGTGCGGCTGGGAGATCTCACTTTTTCTGGTTATTGATCTAGTTCTTTGCTTGTTTCTTGACCTACGACTGGTTCTAGGTTTAAGACCCTAATTTCTTGACTGTCGCCCATTCTAGGGCAGCAGATAGTTCAGTTTCAGCCTTGCACACTAAGGTGTTTAATTCTTTGGAAGATTATCAGAGCTGTTCTTTTGTTTCTTCTGGGTGGATTGCCGACCTAGAAGGGTAAAGTAGGTTCGGCTGTTAGCAAATTCTGGGTGAGGTTACAGTCTTGGTGATAAAAGAGGTATCAACATGTTTCTCATTAGTAATGCCAACAAGTTTAATGAGGTCAGAGGAATAAACAAAATACCCCTAGTCGCTACGATGAGCTTCTAGACCCAAGAAATAGGTGAGAGGGTGCAAGTCCTTCATGTGAAAGGAATTATGGAGGACTTCAACTCACTAAAATCTTCATCATCATTCCTAGTCAACATATCATCAACATATAGCAGAACGGTAATACCTTGAGGTCATCGCCTAACAAAGAGAGAGTGATTAGAGGAACTCTGGCTATATCCAACAACAATTACAACATCTCGAAAGTGTTCAAACCATGTCTAGGGAGCCTGTTTCAAACCATATAGGGATTTTTTTGAGGTGACATACTAAAGAAGAATCACTATAGTATCTAGGAGGATACTTCATGTAGACTGTCTCCTTTAGCTGACCATGAAGAAAGGCATTTCTCACATCTAACTGGCAAATGGTCCAAGATTGGACAGCAAACAATGCTAAGAGAACACAAATTGTGGTTATCTTAGTAACAAGAGCAAAAGTTTCTTCATAATTAATGCCATACTCTTGACTATATCCTTGGGCAACTAATCGAGCCTTTATCAATGAACGGATCCTTTGGATTTCAGCTTAATGGTATAAACCCAATGATTCCCAAAAATGGAGGCATTTAGAAGAACAATCACAAGGTACCAAGTGTCGTTCTAATGTAAAGCTTGAATCTCTTTTATTTTTTTCTTGATAAATGAAGCATGAATCTCTGCATCCATGGCTTCCTTTTAATGAGTGCTATGGTTTGAAGGAAAACCATAGCGGTTAGGAGGTCTAGGGATGCAAGTAGAATGGTGAAGAGGAACAAAGGTAAGAGGATTATCTGAAATGGAAGTAGTAGTAGAAATAGAAGTATCACTTATAGGAGTAGTGGTGAGATGTTGATCTGAATCGACGTAGGGACTGAAGCACGTATCCGCTTGTGAGAGAAGATGAAAAGGTCCTTCTTAGTTGGAGGTGGAACATCCCGTGAATCAAAGTTTGGAAAAACAAAAGACAGATGGTGTAGGCAGTTCAGTAATTCCAACAAAAAAGGAAATATGCTCAAGAAAAACAAAACTACATGAGATATGAATATGATGAACAGAGGGATCATAAAACTAAACCCTTTGTGGTTAGGATTGTAACTCACAAAGGCTCACATGATAGACTGTGTAGACAATTTAGAACCTTCACAAGGGGGGAGATGAATAAAGCACAGGCATCCAAAAACATAAAGCATAGATAAATTCGAAGGACAACCAAACAACTTTTGAAAGGGTGACATATTACCAAGAATAGAGGAAGGAATATAGTTGATCAAAAACATAACTGTGTTGGTTGCCTCCACCCAAAAATAAGTTGGAGCATGGGACTCTTGCATCAATGTCCTCACAACTCTAACTATATGTTCATTCTTGTGCTTGGCCACACCGTTTTGCTAAGGAGTATCTGAACAACTTAATCAAACTTGTATTTCATTATTCTTCAAATAGGATAGGAAGTCTCCATTAGTATATTCTTCCCCTTAATCTGAACGAAGAATACACACTTGTGATTGAAACTAAACTCATAACATAGCATGGAACAATCTAAATGTTGGAACACCTCTGACTTGTGGTGAAGAAAGTATATCCATGTGTACCATTTTACAATCATCAATGAATGATACAGAGTCTTTGTATCCAAATTTAGAAGTGATAAGTACAGTCCAAACATCACTATGCATAAGCTCAAAGGAAGAGGTAGCATGCTCAGTTATGTGAGGAAAGGGAAAAGTACGATTCTTTCTTAAACAACAGGAAACACAAGATGTATCAAAGGTTTGTAAGGAAGGGACTTTATTCTTAATAAAACGAGACTCGATCAAAAACTTTAATTTCTTAGCAGGTATGTGACCTAAATGTTTATGACATAAGTCCCAAACATTATGATGAGTTTTAATAAGGTTACTGGTTGGCAATGATGTTTAACATTTTACCATTTGTGATGAGTTTTAGTAAGGTTACTTGGTTGGTTAGGGTAGGCTCTTGTCATATGGTTGGTAGCTCCAGAGTCGATTGTCGGAACATGAGGAGAAAAACATAGCTATAGAACTAACCAAATAAGTCAATAGCAGAAAAGGCAGAAGAAATAGTAGATGTTACTAGTTGCTGAATGTTTTCCTTAACCATAGATGCCAAGGAATCACCTTTAACAGAAGAATCATCACCAGTAGAAGATACCTTATTTCCATGTGCTGTAAAAGCAGTGTCAGTCCCATAGGTTGATCAGTTGATCCATCAAGTTTCAAAGGAACAATATTAACTCTACCAGAGGCCACTTTAGCAATGAAACAACAGTCCAGACTCCAGATACAAAAATATTAGAGAAAACCAGATTCAACAATAGTCCACGTTGTCCATGTGGGATAGAGAAGTATTCCATGTGTAGAGGAAGTCAAGGAACTCAAAAAATACCAGAATTCGATGTTGACAGTCCAAAAAATGCAAGTTGCAGGTCTGTCGAATCCAAGAAGGGATAAAAAACCCTTAATATCAATCTGAAATCTGAAACAATTAAATGGGAAGCAAGAAAACCCTAGGGTTATAGCTTGATTGAATCAGATGATTGAGAGAAAACACTGATTTACTAATCGATCAGGCGTCTTTTCCAGGAAAAATGGGGTACTTTGTGCTAATCGAAACAGCCCTCAGAAAAACTCCAAAACAAAACCCTATTGTAGGGTTAAAAATTCTTAAGAGAATCCTTCATCTGGAGAGAAAAGCTTAGATCATAGGCTGGTGTAGAAGACCTGAAGTCCAAAGATGTTGGAGTCCAAAAAAGGAAACTGTACACTATTGCCACCCCAAGAAGAAGATTAAAACTCCTTAAAAAACTTCACCAAATCAGATGCTGTTTGTAGGGTGAATAGATTAGATGTAAGCGACACTAGATCTGAAATTTGGCCTCGACCCAAGATCTCCCAAGAGAGATCTAATAAAAACTCACTTGCTCGTTGCACAAAGTAGACTGGGCAGTAATTAGAGTTGATCAAAACAGCCCTAATCTCTTTCACAGAAGATAGGGCAGTAAATCCTAATAGAATAATAGGATTACTGCTTTCAGTGAGGATCGAGAGAAGAGAAAATAGATCAGAGAGCAACCCACTCCGATACCATGTCAATACTCTTGGCTGAATAGAGAAGAGAACAAGATTAATCTTTGGAGGTGTCCAGAATAGTCAATCCCCACCTCAAAGAGTCTCTTATATATTAAAAGATATGTACAATTACTAGAATGCTCATACAGGGCTGAAAGAGAAATAAGAATAAAAAGTAACAAGTGATGTAATGCACAATAGGGACTATACTAATAAGATATATATAGTCACAGAATCCCCACACAACCATGGAAATTATCTACCTTTTGCTACAACTAATAAAAAAGTTCAGAGAGAAAAGAGAGTTTCCATATGTTGTTGATTGATCTACAGAAAGCATATGATAGAATTTCTGCAGAGATAATATGTTGGAGCTGGGAAAACAAAGGGATGCCAAATAGATATATAGACCTAATTAAGGATATGTATAAGGTGGTGGTGGGGTGATTGCAGAACCTGCTATTACAATGAAGTGAAAACAGTCAAGTGGCTGACCAGGAATATATGTGTAAGTATACAGTGGGTGGGGAGATCAGCTAAGGCTGTAGCTGACAGCCTAGTCAAGCAAGGGGAAAATAGGGAACAATTGTATTGGGCACAGTTGTAATTTGTCTTTCTTTTAGTCTCTTGGGAGAGGTTGCAGCTTGTGCCTCTCCCTAAACAGTAGTAACTTTTTTTTTTTTTCTTTTTTCTTTGATAAAATCTTCTTATTCATAAAAAAAGAAGTGCAACAACCAATGTTAAAAACCTGTAGAAGGGACATCAAATTTCACAGATACAATGGGGCTTCAGCAAGGTTCAACACCTAGCCCCATTGATCATAGATGAATTTAGTAAGCATGTTTAGGAGGAGGACCCATAGTGCATGCTTTTTTCTGTTGAAATTGTTGTAATTGATGAAAATAATGAAGCATTAAATGTGAAATTAAGCTTATGGACATACCTTAGAAACAAGAGGTTTTAAAAGAAGTAAGATTAAAACAGAATATGTGATTTGTAAATTTAATAATAATAGGAGTTCAAATCAGGGCACACCTATGATTGGAGACCAAGAGAATCTTTTGAGTAATCCAATGTCCTTTTCCGGTTTCTTGCTTTCATAATTGATAACAAGGGAGAGATTGAGGAGGATGTTGCCCAAAGAAATAGAGTAGGGTGGGCAAATGGGCAAAATGGAGTGGTGCATCTGGAATTTTATGTGATAATTGAATACCACTTAGATTGAAAGGAAAATTCTATAAAACAGTTGTAAGGCCAGCTATTTATGAGGTAGAGGGTTAGGCAGTCAAGTAGCAATGTGTCCAAAAAATTAAGTGTGACAGCTGATAAAAATAATACGTGTGGCAGAGATGTGTATACTGAGATGGATGAGTGGAAACTAGAAAAGATAGGATCAGTAATAAAGTTATTTGAAGGAAACTTGGAGTATCTCCAATAGGTGTTAAAATGAGAGGAAGTAGATCAAGATGGTTTGGTCACGTGCATATAAGACCAGCCACATCACCTGTAAGAATAAGTAATTTGTCCCAAGTTGAAGGACCTAGAAGGGCTAGGGGTAGACCAAAAAGGGCATGGGTAGAACTGTAGTAGTAAGCAATGATTTAAAAGCCATTATGTTAACATTGAGTATGGCACTAAACAGAATGTAATGGTGAAACAACATTATTGTGGCCGACCCATATAGTTGGAATAAGTTTTGGATGATGATGATAATGATCAGTAATCTTAGGAATTATTATAAATTTCAGTGGGATCTACTAGTCAACGTATTTGCTTTGTCATGGCTAAGCAACCTGCACAAAACCCAAATACCATTTTGGGTTTTAAAGATAAAAAAGAAACCAACAATAAGGTTGCTTAAACAGTTTGGGAGTGGGTTTTCTCCCATTTGGGGTGTTCTTGGTATCCTTCGGAGACTGTCCAAGGTTTGTTTTCTCCTTTTTTCAGTTGGCCTAAGAAGCGAGGGAAGACTATGTGGAGGTGTATTAGGGCAGCGGTATGCTGGTCTTTGTGGGAAGAAAGAAACTCACGCATTTTTTCTGACAAGGAAAAAATATTGGAAGATTTGTTAGATCGAATCCTTTTAAGAGCTGTCCACTGGCTAAAATCTTTGGAGTTGTTTTCAGATTGTCCTATGGATGACTTGCTAAGAAACTGGAAAGAGATTGCTTCCACTGCTAGATGCAAGAGGACTCTTTGTCTGTTTTGGTCCCCTCCCCCCTCCTGCTTTATTCTCTGGCCTTATTGGAGAAGGTGACTCTCTTAGGGCTGAGATCCTTGCAGCGCTTGAAGGAATTCGAAGAGCAAAAGAATTAAATATTAGCCGCTTGATTCTGGAAGGTGATTCGAAGGTGGTGGTTAATTGGTTGAAGACAGAGGACAGTGGTTTGTGGAACTTTAACACTGAGAAAAAACGGTTCTTATGGCTGGGTAGGGACATTGAGATTCAGTACAGCTGGGTGAAGAGGAGTGCCAACTCATTTGCGGATGGTTGGCCAAGCAAGGAGTGAATAGGGAGGCTGTTCTTTGGGCTAGTTTTTAATTTTTCTTTTCATTCCCTATGTTTTCTGTTTTTGGGGAGCTAAGTTATTTTATCTCCCTTTGTATTCTTTTCCCTCTCTTCTCTTAATTTAATGAAGTTGATGTTATTGATCAAAAAAAAAAAAAAGATCAAGTTGCAAATATTTTATTTAACCATTGTAAAATGTGAAGCACCCTTTTGCAATATATTTTTATCATTTCCTTGTTATTTTGAGACATTCCGAATTCCATAGATTACAATATTTTACTATAAAGGAATGACTGTTTAATCATTTTTTTTCTCAAAAGAAACTGTATTTTTTATTTATGAAGCTCTCCATTCTTGGTTTTCTATATTTCCTAATTTCAGGTCCTTATGGCACATGAAGATATCTCTAAAATTCAACTTGAGTTGATTCCAATGGTTCAAGAAATTCTTACAGAATGGCTTGTGATCCATTTCTTAGGAACTACTCCATCTGAATCACAGGCCTTGCAGGATTTCAGTTCTCAACTTTCATCACTACATATTGGTGAGCATATGCTATAGGGTTTCTAATGTATTAGTGTTACTAGTGGCTAATGTTTTTTCTGTTTTTTCTTGTTTGTCTTATTGCTGTATTTATATAAAGATGCATGTCACAGTTATAAATTGATCTTCATCCCTTTTAACCATATTGTAGATATAAAAAGCTTTGCTGTTTCTGATAATACCATAGAATGAAAAACTTGGTACTTTCAAGTTTTGGCATGATGGTTACCATGTTTTATATTTGTGGTTCTAGACAGCAATAATGATAATATATCATGGAATGAGAAGCTTGGTACTTGCAACTTCACACTGGCTTGCATACTTTTGCCTGATATAAAATGTTCCTCCGATTATCGGGACTACCTTTCTTCAAGATCTTTTCCTAGCCCGAACAACATTATCAGTGCATTACGGAACATAAGCAGCTGGATTATTTGGGGTAAGACAGGGGAAGAATCCTCATCTTTCTTCAGCCGTTCAACTGAAATTGCATTGATCCTGCTTAGGCATGGACAATATGAAGCTGTTGAGGTTAATATCTTTTTCTTACATTTTGTACTAATATTAAGATCTATGTATCATTGAAGCTTTAACTAGAATTTGTTTTTTTTTTTTGTTTCTTTAAGAACCTATTTGCTATTGTTGATGGACATTCATGTAAAGAAAGGATACCCCAGAGTGTCCAGGGCTCTGATGGCATATGGTGCATGCACCATCATCTTTTGGGGTGCTGCCTTCTTGCACAAGCGCAATGTGGATTACAAGGAACTTCAAAGGAAAGGAAAGTTCGTGAAGCTGTTCGCTGTTTTTTTAGGTGCTAAGTTTTATGCATTTTTACTTATTTTGAAATGATCCTTGCTAGTTCAGTGGTTAATTATTTGTGTTACTTTTGTTATGTTTCAATTGTGGTGCTGTTGTTTACTTTCTTGTGCATACAAGTGTTTGTGGGGACTAACAGCTTTTCAAAATTTATGTTTTTTTTTTTTATCATTAGTTATTGTCTTAATTATAACACCAACAAGTTGATGTGCTCTTAGAAATTTGTATAATAGAAGGGAGCATATCTACATGTGTAATCTTCATTAACTTAATGAATTTTACAGGTTTCTAAGAATGGAGTATAAAACATGGGAATGATAACCAGCTTTCCCTGATTTTAAACCTCCAATCTATTGCAATAAATATGCAGTTAAAATCCTTAAAATTCTTTAAAGTTACTCAGTATTTAGGTTTCATTTTGTAAAATGAAACTGAACTTCTAAATCCTAATATTAACTATTTTCTGGAAAGTTAAAATGTTGAATCTTAGTAATTATATGACCTGAAAATTCTCTTTGGTAATTTAACTAAAAAAGTCATGATTTGTGGAAATTAACATTTTCCTCGAAACCTAATTGGTAAACATAAATCACTGTAAGTCTTGAAATCAGCGTTTTGTCATATTTTTCCCATTTTATTTAAAAAATTAAGGACTTTCCTTAGGCAGTAAAAAATGTATGAAAATCTAGTGAATCTCATTGTATAATTGAATAATTAAGTAATTATTGTCCTAAAATCGATTAATTAAATGAATCTATTTGTTGATTATATTTAATAAATCGCGTTTGTCTTGTCCATAACTAAGTCTAACTCAGTGGTATTTGTTGTAATCTGTGTAGTGGCAAACTGGCAATAGATTTGATATTCAGGTAGAGGAAAAAAGAAAGAGAAGAAATAGAAGAGATTTAAGGAGGCAATAGATATAAATACCAGTTTATCCCTAATCTGTATTAATTTAAGAAGAGTACACTGACCATAATAGTATTACCATAATGTATTAGAACATTAGATTGTTATTGTACTTGTAAAGACTTCCCCTCAAGATGGTATCTGGATATCTTACACACACAACCTGGAGTGAACATCATAAAGTGATGATTTCCCAACAGCCTTGGTCAATACACTATCCAATTGATCCTCTTTTCTTACAAAAGGCAAAGATATCTCCTTTGCTGCTAACTTTTCTGAAATAATATGCCCAACAACTTAATTATCTTTGGTTCAGTCATGCTGAACAAGATTGTGGGTAACACTGATCACATCCTTGTCACAGTTGGGATTCATTGGTTGCTTCACCTGGCATCCCATTTCTTGAAGTAGGGTGTTCATCCAAAGCAATTTACATACCCCATAGGTCATTGCCATGTAGTCAGCCTCCACACTTGACTAAACAACAATAGAGTGCTTTTTACATCTACTAAGATTTCAATCTGCATTACTGAATTTTGTCTCTTAGGTTGGAAATGGGTCAACAATAGAGTTTTGGGAAGATGATTGGCTAGGGATTGTAAAATTCTGTGAATTGTGCCCACATTTATATCAGTTCAATTCAAGAGAGGGTGGTGTGGTGCCCAAAATTCAGAAGACATTTGTTGGATTTGGATATTGAAGAGTGTGTGATATGCTTTCTAATTTATAGTCAGTTGAGTTATAGGGTGAAAGGTGGGACTTGAGATTATGGAAGGAATCTAGTAATGGAAAATTTTCTGTGAAGTCTTTCTATTAAGTTCATTTGAGAAACCAGGTAGAAAGATTGGAGGTGAGAGGCATATAGGGAAACCCTATCCCACCTAGGGTGGAAGCTTCTGCACGGATGGTTGTTTTGGATAGTATCTTAACATTGGATCATATTAAAGTAGAGGTTTTGAGTTAGCATAAAGATGCTACTTATGTGAAGGAGTTGAAAGTAATGTCCTACATCTTTGCTTTGATTGCCCTTACTCAAAATTCACATGGGGATTTTTCTATGGTCTGTTCAAGACAAGTGTGGGGGATCCTAGGTCTCTGGCAGACATTTTTGCTTGTTGGCCTTCAATGATAGGAAATACCAAAGTGAAGATTATTTTGGACTTGCTTACCTTTTGCTATTTTCTAGGAAGAAAGGTACAGAAGATTAGTTGCAGGCAAGGCCAGAGGATGGGACCAGATTACTCTATGTTGAAAAAGAATAATGGAAATGTGAAATATGTGAAAATATAGTATGATATTTTATGAAATGATAAAGGAAGTGTAGGACACCTTTTTAATTATTATCTTCATCCAAATCATTAAATAAAGCTCAAATCTAAGGTTATAATAAAAAAGAATACATTATGAAGTGGTTCTGAAAACCTTAAGAGTCAAAACTACATTCTAGAATGAGTTCAAGAAAAATTCAAACTCAGAAAATGTAAATGACTCTAATAGATTAACCAAATAATCTATTAGGAGAAAAATATGTGAATAGAAGAACCACATAGAAAGGCCTACAGTCTCCTAATCAATAAGAGAGTGAGATCAATCAACTAGTTGAATGTCAAAAATAGTCGTACTTTTACTCTGGAATTTACTTAAGAGATCTGATTTCAAGAGTCCAACACTTCACATTCACAGTACAAATGAAACACTTGTAGGTTTCACCTCACCAGTTGATCACAAGCACCAATAGTGATGGTTTGATCCATCAGACCACACTTAATGGAGTAGTCCAACCAGGTCTGATTCTCTGGATTTTGTGAAAAATCAGAGGAACAGAAGTTTGAACCAAGAGGGAAAGGAGTAAACGAATTAGATTACCTAAATCCCTGCTTTGATACTGTGTCAAGAAAGGACAAAAAGGAGAACTCCAACAAGACAAATATAATGTAATAAAGGAGCTGCTCCCTATTCAATGTGTGTCATAAAGGTCCACAATGAGATGCTTCTATACTTTTCCAGTGATCCACAAACATACTGATAAAAGGCCATGCTATCACTTTGCAATCTTGAATGGATCTGCTTCTTTCTGTCATTTAATTTGCTTAGTTGGCTGTAAGGTTTTTTTTTTTTTTTTTTTTTTGGCAAACAAGTTGGACATGCAAAAAGCATATGCTGGATTAGAATGGCCATTTATTTTGGCTCTTATGACTGAAATCAGCTATTGCAATGATTGGATCCATCTGGTTCAGCAATGTATCTCTTCACAGATCTTCAGCTTCTTAATCAATGGAGTGGTGAAAGGTAGAATTCAGCTGGGCCAGGGAGTGCAGCAAGTCGACCCCATTTCCCCATATTCCTAATGGTGGATCAGTGTTTGTCATGCATGATCACAAATGTAGTCTAGGATGGCTATCTTCAGGGGATCAAGCTAAATATGCATGGTCAGACCCTTTGTCATCTGTTATTTGTCAATGATACTCTCATTTTCATAAAAGCTGATTTCCAGAATTTTGCGACCATCCAACACATTCTTCACAGCTACTTCTCCATGACTGAGAAGAGTCATTTCATGGATGATGAAGATTCTTAAAGCTAGAAGGGAATCAAGATACCTTGGTTTGCCCATTGACTTTGGTAGTGAAAAACGAACTTTTTTCTCTGCCATACAGGTTGAGAGACCCTTATCAGGTCGGTTGTAGTTGCCTCTCCTATGTTCGCTATGTCCCACTATAACATACCAAAAGGGATTGGTAAAAAGCTAAAGAGAAGTTGTGCTAATTTCCTTTGGGGGTAGAAGTCTTTGGAGAAGGGAATTAAATGGTTGAGTTGGAGGTATTTGGCTAAAGCCCAATGGTTGTTGGGGGGGCTTGGGTTTTAAAGATATGATCTTGTTCAACAAAGCCCTTCTTGCTAAAGTTGGAGAACCCTCATAGAGGGTAGAGAAACTATAAGGCCTGCCCTTATTTGGCACATAGGAGACAGCTCGAAGATCAAGATTTGGCTGAAATCATAGATTTCATCTTTGCTAGTCTTCAAAATGACATCCGCCTCTACTAATGATCTCAGATTCTTGATGGGTATATGTCCCGTGATCTCATCCATGGTACCTCCACCAGTGGAGTGTTGATAGACCAATGTTTAAAATGTCGATGTTGGTGGAAATGTCGGTCATCCAAATATAAGAAACATGTTGGAAATGTCAGAAATATCGTATGGAAATATTGTAAAAATTATCGACATGGTGGGGACATTGTAAAATATGCAAAATATAGAACTATATCTTATGAAATGATGAAAGAAAGCATATGCACACCTTTTTAAATTATTGTCTTGTTCCAAATCATTAAACAAAGCTAAGAAACTAATGTTAAAGACAAAAGAATACATTCTGAAGTTGTCTTGTAAACCTTCAGATTCAGAGCTTCATGATGGAATGAGTTAAGCAAAATTTTAACTCATAGAAAATGTAAATGGTTGTACTAGATCAACTAAATAATCTATTACACAAACAAAAACTAATATTTAACTTCGTGTTTGAAATGAATTTTGAGCTAGCTCCAAGTGGTAATCATGTAAGTTAGGCGGACGATAACATTGTTACTTCACATATCTACAATATTGTGATCAACTTATGTTATAAACTTATAATACTATCCCTTGGACTCCATGTAGTAATGCTAGTGTTCACTGGGGAATATGTTGATTCTAGTAAAATTTCATGTTGCTACCCATGGAAGTGGAAATGGAAATATGTTGTGGAAACTCTCTCTTGTACTCCACATAGTGCTGGTAATGTTCATTAGAGAAATATCAATTCTCGTAAAATTTCGTGCCACTACCCATGGAAATGGAAATATGTCGTGGAAATATTAGGGAAATTAGTTACATTTTTAAACCATGTGATAGACTGTGACTTCTATTCACCGGCCACGGGGTCCAAGAAATCATTAAAATCTCTCTATGTTCATCTGTCATGGAGGATAAGGTAATTTGGGCCCCAACCAAAGATGGGTGGTTTTTGGTCAAATCTGCCTATTGGCTATTCTGAAAGGAGGAAGATCAACGGAGACAAGTTGAGACCTTGGTCAAATCTCTCTATGTTTTTGTGGGATTTTTTTTTTTTCCTTTGTCTTTGTTCGAAGTTGGTTGGGTGAATCTTAATGTTTGGAAGTTGTGTGGTTATTGGGTTCTATTATGGGGTTATTGAGGTCTGATTGATTGGTCCTTTGGGTGTGCTGCTTCGGGTGATGTCTTATCACCTTTCTCTTGTATTCCTTTTCCTTTTTCTAATGAAATTTTATTTTTTCTCTTCAAAAAAAGCACAGTCACTTGTCAAAAAAGAAAAAAGCATAGTTTTCAAGGTGCCAAGGCAAACCTATGATAGCTTCATACTTCATAGTTTTTTAGTAATCAGCAGTAATCTTTGACTAATAATTATCATAATCCTCATGAAATAAGTATAAACCTCATGCAAAAACATAGAAAATCAACTTATTTATGAGAAGAAAAAGAAGAAAGAAAAGAAAATACAGAAATTATATGGGGCGGACCCTTCTTTTTATTCGAGGGGGAGAAATACTAATTATTATGTGATATAATATATAATAATAATGATAATTCCTTGATTGATCTTCTGTGCTGATTGGATAAAATCTCCAAGTTCTTCTTTGCTTATCAATATAGGTTTGAAATTGTAAGGGTTGATGTCTACATCTCTAACTTCTGTGTTGATTGAACCCAAACAAATACAAAATTAATAAAAAATAACTGGTATAATAATTGTAAAAATATTGAAAACCCTCAAAATGAATAATTTAATATACTAGTATGTTTGTGATATTATAAATGTCATAAAATAAAAATTATAAAAATACTATGTAGTGTCTTATACAAAAATATGTAGGTAAGTACGACATTTGGAGATATTGGGGATAGGTAGAAAAAAGTTCATCTAAAATGAAGTTGGTGCAGGAGTACTTAGCGGTGCAAATGGTAATATTGTTGCTGTGTTCTTGGGTCCAGTAGATGTGGGGGTTCCATTAGAGCTGAATTCCTTGCTGCTTTACAAGGAGTTCAGATGGGCTACCATCGAATCCTGCTTGCACCTGGGTTGGGGGATGGGCTACCCCCGTTGTGTATCCCTTCAAAAGAAATAAAAAAAGAACCACTTTTTAGCTTAATCTTAAGAAACCAGCAATTACAAAAAATGGTGAATCAGGATTTTTTTTCATAGCTAATAATTATTGGAATTGTTAGAAATAGTAAGTTCAAAAATTACAAAGGAGTAATTGGAATTGTTGGAATTGTTAGAAATAGTTAGTTCAAAATTATTGGAATTCTATGGATTCTCTTCAATCTCAGCTCCAACATTTATGTGGTGTTTCCCTAATCAGATGTGTATTACACAGTTCCAGTTTCTTGTTATTAATTACTATAATTTGCTTTCATCTCAGAGCATCATCGGGACAAGGAGCATTACAAGCTTTACAGAGTTTGTCCTTTCAAACAGGACTGTCAAATCCTGGTCATAGTGAGTTCAGTGAAAAGAATTATTTTTACTTTCTGTGTGAAACCGGTATTTTGTAATGATTTTTATTTTATTTTAATTTCTCATTTCTCATCTTTTTTCTGCCTTTGCATCAGTCTGGAAGCTTCTTTATTATCAGTGGGCAATGCAGATTTTTGAGCAATATAATATGAGTGAAGGTGCTTGCCAGTTTGCTCTTGCTGCACTTGAGCAAGTAGATGAAGTTCTTGGTCTGAAAGATGAGATCTGTGATGGGGATCCTTTTAATGAACCTGCAACAACTATTAGAGGGCGACTTTGGGCAAATGTCTTCAAGTTTACTCTAGATCTTCACCGCTATTATGATGCATATTGTGCTATAATTTCAAATCCAGATGAAGATAGCAAATACATCTGTCTTAGGCGTTTCATAATTGTTCTTTGTGAGCAGGGCATCAGTAAGGTTATCCATTGTGACATATTTGGAAGTCTTCTGTTATTCTCTATTGTGGTTTGTAATATGCTTTTGTTCTAGGACAGCTTCCTCTTTGAAGTTTGCCTGAGGTAAATTTGATAGAAATTTAATACATGGCAAATACCCATTGAAACAGATATCATATATTGCTGAGTGACTATATAAGCTTCATCTGCATATAAAACTCAGCCTGCTGCTTGTGCATCTTATCTGATTTTAGTATGATTAGCAAAATTCATGATTCTACATGGTAAATTTACCATTGTTCTCTTATGTCTACGCATTTCAGCCTTTGATTTTGTCAATCTCACCAGGATCCACTTATCCAGCTAATCAATATTGCTCTACCCTTATAAGTGGGCTTGACATTGTCATCTTCCCTATATATTGTATTGATTAGCTATGATAATGATACTGTGCCTCCTACCATGTAAGGATTTTAAAACACTTTGACATGTCATCTTCCCTAGTATGCTTGTTATGATAGTGTATTATCATATCTATTTAGTGTGTGGCTGTAAATTCATTTGTCCTGACATGGGTATAGAACCCACACAACATCCTACTTTGACATATAGAATTTTTCCATTATTAACTGTTGCAGACACTTTGTGATGGACAACTGCCATTTATTGGGCTAATGGAAAAAGTTGAGCAAGAGCTTGCTTTAAAGGTATGCCCTAGTTGGAAAAACATCATTTTTAAGATGTATTCATTTTGGTGTTTTACCATTATTCTCTTTCTGATTTTTTTCAAGATTGATATCATTTAACTCTTCAGGCAGAGCGCTCAGATGTTGCAGCAAAACCAAATCCATACAAGTTACTTTATTCTTTTGAAATGCATCGGCACAACTGGAGAAGGGCAGCTAGTTATATGTACAGATATACAACTCGCTTGATGAATGAAGCTACCCCGAAGGATGACCAACAACTTTCCATAGTTTTGCATGAGAGGCTGAATGGATTATCTGCAGTTATCAATGCCTTGCATCTTGTTGGTCCCACATATTCTTGGATCGACCCTCACATTGAAGGCTACTCTTGTTTGGATGAGCATTATCCACACAAAAGGGCCCGTACATTTTGCAATGAGAACTGTAGGTTTTTGTATTTCAACATGGAACTACTTTTATTTCATTGTTTTTAAGCGGTTAGTTGCACAGCATACAAGAAGGATTTTGATTAGCTGTAATTATTGTGTTGGAAATTCTTTTTCATTCATGTTCTTATGGTTTATATTGAGTAATGATTGTTGTCCATTTTTCAGCTGTTACCAGCAATGATGTTCAATCACAGAAGGTACAATATAATATTGATATTGAAAAGCTGGAAAATGAGTTTGTTTTGACATTGGCACAGTATTTACTTTCATGTGCAAATGCAAAATCAACATTTACAGGTGAGGAGTTAAATGTGGTATTTGCATACATGCATGTGTTAATGAGTGGGTCTATAGAGTTGAAAGGAGATTGACCATAAGGAAAAAAGGGTTGTACATTTCAAGCATCACAACAATTTATTTTTACAAATATAAACTCAAATTTTCTTTGCTGCATTTCTCTTTTTCTTTTTCAGGAAATCAAAAACTCTCATCAGATATTGTGGACCTGTTGATTCAGACAAATTTATATGATATAGCATTTACAATTCTTCTGAGATTTTGGAAGGGTTCAGGATTGAAGAGGTGCAACTTCGTTGTGCCATTCTGTTACATAAAGTTTTCCCTTTCTTGGAATATAATAATGGTATCTTTTTGCAGTGAATTGGAACGAATCTTTGTTGCTATAGCACTGAAATGTTGTCCAAATGGAGTAGTTTCCACATTTAATGGGTAAGACATGGTTTTCCCTTTTCTGCACCACTCCCATCCCATAAATAAAAGAAAAACAAACAAAAGAAAGACCCCCCCCTCCAAATCCACACATAAATGAGAGAGGTATTTGATGTATGAATTGCTTAATTTGCTTATCTTCCAGGAAAAGTTTCAGAATGCAAGGTCTTGTTCTGACCTCATCAGCCAATGAAACATTTATTCAAGGCGCATCTCTATCTCAGCAGTCAAGTGGGAACTTCCAGTGGGAACAACTCAAGATTTATCTTGTGCGTTTGTTTTGTCTCAGCTTATTGTTGTATCGTATAATATGACATGTTGCATTGGTTTACCGTAGAGTTGTGATTTCATTGTGTGAACTGCAATTTGGGTTGTTCTTCCTATCATTCTCCATGAAGTTGATATTTGCTGTTAGCATTTCTACTATTGTGTCTATGTCAAGATCCTATATTGAAAATTCATCAATGTGTTGGAGGCAAATTAGAGTGCTGATATTCAGGCTCAGTTTTGGAAGAGTACAAATACAAAACAGTGCAAATACATACAAAATACAAGGTTTTACACTTGTATTTGTACTCTTTCCAAACTGAGCCTCAGGTACAATAAGGTGGTGATGTTATTTTTTTTTTTTTTTTGAGTTACTGTCATAATTTTATGAGAAAGAGATGAAAAAACAGTATGTATAATGATCATCATGTTGCCCTAGTTCCCCTAGCCACTGTATTCTTCTTTTCACTCTCCTTCAGGTGATATAGCCCCAAATACATAGAGATTCTTTTAACTCCTTGTTTGTTTCTTTGTCTTCCAACATTATTATTGTGGATGGCAAAGATTCCAATACCCTCTGTTGCTGTATTCCTTTCTCACTTGCCTTTTGTGTATTGTGATTATAGCTTTGGTTGTTCCTACAAGCCATAAATCCAGATATTGTAAGAGTAACAGTATAGTTCACCATATTAACAGTCAGGTATGGAAAAAAACCTCATTACTTGTTAGAACCAGATAAAAAAATAGAAAAAAGCAGTAGAGTAAGATTTACCAGACTGAGCGAATTGTAGAGTTAGAGGGAGGGCTTCACTTTGAGAGGGGCCACTGAATTGGCTAATGAGTTAGCTCATTCTTTCCAAAGTAGGCCCAAGTAGGATCTGGGTGTGAGGCACTGATTGGTCAACTTGGGGTATTTCTAGAGTTGTTTTTACATTTGATTCTGTTCCTTTCTAGATATTAGCTTTGATTATTTTAACCGGTGTAAATCAGTATATGGTGCAAATTTTCTGCATTATAGACTATTTTCTATGATTATAAGATATCATGCATTTGTGCTATTTCATGTGTCTATGTGCCTCTGATTACTAATTTTATTTGTTTTCCACTTGATTGTTCACAAACTTCAGGAAAAATATAAGAAGTTACACACAAGGTTACCGGTAATTGTTGCAGAAACACTTCTGCATACTGATCCTCAGATTGAATTGCCTCTTTGGCTAGTACACATGTTCAAGGTATTTCTTTTTTCTTATGGATTAACAGTAAACAATTTTAATTTTCAGAACACGAAGATAGCCATAATCATATTCTCGATTGAGTACCCTTAAGATGAAAGATAAGATAGCACTGCAATGGCTTTCTCTCTTTTTCCTTTCTTGAAGCTTGTATTATTGTCCTTGCATGCCTATATACTAAGGTGCTACTTCAAAATGTATAATCCTTCATTTTGCAAATGTCATGTTATGTTTTTTCCTGGATAAATTGTGTATTGCATTTCAAACTGTGTGCTTCTTACTATCATGATTTATGAGATTGCTGTGACATCCTACTTTCCTGCTCATTGGATGCAACAGTTTCGTCAAAGGGCTTGGGGGATGACTGGACAAGAAGCAGATCCTGCATCTCTATTTCGACTATATGTTGATTATGGTCGGTATGCAGAAGCTACAAATCTTTTGATCGAGTACATTGAGGAATTTGCATCTCTGGTAATTATTACCTTTTTTGTAAATATAAACAAAAGTCTTGTACTCAGTTAAAATTCAAGGTAAGAACGTGTAAACGGAAAGCCTCAAAATTGATAAAAAAGGGAGTGCCCAAATTTTTCTCAATGAGGTAAAGCAATGACTAGTCATTTTGGCCTCTCTACTCAGTCCCTAGGCAGTAACTAGTCAATAGAAGAAAGATACGTTCTAAACTTAAGATATTGATGCAATCTCATAAATTAGTTAATACTTAATATAAACTATAAATATGCAATAAAAGAATGATATTGAACATATACTTTGTGGTCTAGCGGTAGGTAGCCCTTTCCACGACAGCTCACACTCTGCAGAAGGTAGCCCTTTCCCTTTTGTGGCTTTCATTCCGCTCCAGGTAGCCCTCTACATGACGGCTTTCACTCTACTCTAGGTAGTCTTTTCCATGACATCTTTCACTCTGCTCTAGGTAACCCTTTTCCTAGGTATCTCTTTCTGTAGTTTGAAATTGAAATGTGGTGATAAGCTCTGATACTAATTGTTACACGCTTGACCAATATGCCAGAAGCCTTTAAAGACTGTTGGGACACATAAACCTTTAAAATTGTTGTACATAAATACATTCATAAATTCTTTTAAAGCTAACCAAGCCCAAGCAAACCCAACCCAACCTTAGCCCAGCCCAAATTATATTGAGTCAGGCTCTTATCAGTCTCTAGTTGGTGAACTTGGATTTGATCTCGGGTTAGGCAGGCTGAAGCCCAAGGTCTGCATCCTAGGGTTGACCTTCAACCCACCCAACCTGCTCAAGTTGCGCCCCTAGTTTCAAGCATTTGGATTTGGATTCTTTCAGCCACATCTTTGCGTCGTATCCAGACAAATGAAAACCAAACAAGAGAAAAAAAACATAGTATGAAATTCGAATTGTATCATGCATTTTAACGAGGAGTATAATGTAGTAGAAAGCTGTCTTTTTTACATTTTTGCCTGCCATTTGTACCTTTGTCACATGCTATGCACGCTAAAGAAAGTTTTCCTTGTTTAATCTTTGTTGCAGAGACCAGCCGACATAGTTAACCGAAAAAAAATGTCTGCCATTTGGTTCCCATACACGTCAATTGAGCGCCTTTGGTGCCAAATTGAGGAGTTGAGAAGTTCAGGGCACATGATTGAGCAATGTGATAAGCTCAAGAAGTTGTTGCATGGAGCTTTGCTGAACCATCTGAAACTAGTATTGCTTGATCCTTTTAATTCTCTTTGGACTTTTTATTTTCTTAAGCTGCAATTTTAAGTTTCCCATATTTTCTTCCATGTGTTTACAGGTACAGGTTGACTCGCATGATGCACTGTCTTCTGTGTTCTGATTGTAAATTTCAATAGTAGCTCTCCACTGCACATTTCAGCATCCAGGATTTCACGACCGTTACAGTGCCAAGTAAATGGTGCTACAAGGGGAACACAAATGACAAGTCTTCTGGCAGTTTTACTCACAGGGTCCGGGCATTTTTTTGGCTTGCTGGCCTGTCAAAACCATCAGGAAAGCCCCCTTCCCTTCATTTCTTTTGGGATAAGCAGCTGACAAGCAGTCATGTGCCTATAAGGTCCATGCACCAAGTCCTTGCAGTTTTGATTGCTCATAACCAACGTATTAGAACAATTTGGAAGAAAGCTTCATTTCACTGCTTTGCATAGTATCGGTTCCCCATTACATACTTGTGTTACGGTCAAGTCCCAGTGTAAACCTGCAATATCTTGTAAATTGTAATGACCATCGAGAATATCAGTTTCAATTTGTAAGCTGTTTTCAGACATAAGCAGCAGAGTTTCACCAAATTATAGAAACTAGGGCCTTTCTTTTATTTTTGCCTAAGGCAGTCCGGATTGGCTGGAGACAGAATCATGCACAGCAGGCTGGGCAACCTATCATGAGTGAACACGCTAGTATTCCATATTCATCAGGTTTGGGTTCTATGATGTATGTGAACCTCATTGTATAGAACACTGGTGCGTTCACTCATGATAGGTCAGGTTGCTCTGTTCACTGTGCATTGATCGTCTCCAGCCGATATTTGAAGAAAGCATTTGGTGAGGATCATTTATAAATATACTCGTTATCCCAAACAGGAGTGCATTTGGTGACTTCAATAATAAAGTGGTTTAATTTTGAATGATGTTGCCCAATCATCACGAGATGAAAGGTTTGCTTTCCCTTGTTCAGCTATGCAACCAATCATCGATCCAAATCCAACAATAGGTACCCACCTTCCAAGGTTTGCTTCTTTTGACAGGTCTCAATGGCTATCGAACCATTGTGATCTTGGTTCTAGAGAGAGACATCTAGCTCAGATAAACTTACTGTAAAGTTCACTTTACAGCTTTATAGAAATTGCAAATCTACCTGATTGCAGCCTACTTTTGAAATACATGGGCATGACCTCACATCAAGATATTCTAGTGATTTTTAGGAAGAGTACCTATCCCCATAACTGAAATCTTTGGACAGTTGACCTCTAAAACCTTTAAACTTCACTAAAATCCCCCACTCCCTATCCCCTAGAAAGTCATCTCTCTCACTTCCTCACAACACCTAATGTCACAGGACTCTAGTTTTCTACTATGTGATAAGATGGAGCTCAAAGAAGTGTCAAAGAGATTCAAACACCAATCCATGTGCAAGTGTTTAGACTATGACAAGAAGTGGCAATCCATGCGCAAGTGTTTTTACATATTTTTTAGGGAAAATCCCTGATAGGTATCTTGTACTTTAGGTCGACTGCCAATTTAGTACTCAAACTTTAAAATGCAACAATTTAGTACCCAAATTTTCAAAATGTGACAATTTAGTACCTGTTGTTAACCAATCGTCAAGTGTCACGGGAAAAGATACAAATGCCCTTCAAGTGCCATCTAATTTTCTTTATCAACCTTTTGTTAATAAAGAAACAATGATCCCAACTTCCCACTAACCAAACCAAACACAAAGCATAAGAATTCAAATATATGAAAGCGAGCCGAGTGGTCATTACTCGGAAGGTAATAGGCTAATAACAGCTCCCCTCCCCTGCAATTACAGTTGTGTTCTTCAAGGCTTCTTGCGTGTTAATTTGGCTCATCTTGCACTGTAAATCCCCACTTTTTCTTCTTAATTTATTCGTTAAAGGTTTTTCTTTTTTATTTTTTAGTTTGACCACTTTACTAGACTCTATTTGTCTAAGGATTCAAATATCTTTTATCACTCTCTATACATTTCTTCAATCTTTCTTCCCATCTTTTTCCACTTGCATGTTCGTAGGAAACGACAGGTGTTTCTATTGAAAGAATTCCAGCTCTAGAGATGGCGAATAGAGGTAGCGAGGTAAAATGGAAATCAAGAGAGAGAAGCATTCAAGTGAGGAAATTAAAGCTCTTGAAGCCGAAGAGGACTTTGAGTTTGGTTCATAGGGTGCCTCTCTTTTGACAGAATTAGAAATGTGTGCAGCCGACGACGTGTTCATTTAGGGCTAAATCCTACCTTTACGACTCTCGGTTAGCTCTGATAGTGGATTGGCCGAATTGCGTCAAGATAGTCAAAATTTTAGCATTGCGGTTTGAGGTCAGAGTCCTTGGAGCATAGTTCTTGTGGTTTCACTAGCGTAACCAATAGAAGCAGTAGTTGCAGAAGCCACAACTCGTTGAGTAGCAGCTCTGTCAATGCCACCAGATACAAGCCAAGAGTGAAGAACCATTTTCATACCCACCCTAGCCCAAAACTCCATTGTAGTATTTGAGTGCTACTGCTCGGCTGGGGAATGTAGGTAATCAGGATAGGCGATTGATGATATGGGGACTTTTCCGAGTGGGCGTAGTACGGATGTCGGAGATTGAGTTGGATGACCAAAAGCGTTGGAACAGAAACAAGAGTTGTAACTGATGGTGCGCGATCTGAATGCTCCTACCTATAGGGAGCTCGGATGCCTGTCACCAAGTAGGTCGCTCGAATTGCAAAGAAGGGGAGGAATCAGAGAACCCAGAATGGCTAACCTGGCGAGGTTGCTCCGATGCTTAAGTCAGCAATAGTAATTATGAACTGAGAGCTTTGAGAAGTAGGAGAGCTAGAATGCACTTAATTGCGCATACCTGGGTCCTGGGGGGTTGATGCCCTTATATAGTTGAGCTATCGTGGGTCTCACGAAATGACTCCGGGATCCTTGGTCCGCATAGATGAGATTCGTTTCCGCTTTAGAAGGAGAGTAATGTACTAGTCAATGAAGTCTATCGTTATCGTCCAATCTGGGTGGGGAGAGGATAAGGCATGCCGTTACGTGGTGTGATCCCGGGAGATTTAGAGTCTGTTGAGAAGCTTCTGGAGTTTATTACGTGTCACTTAGGTACTTGGGTGCCGAAGTGGCTTTGGTGTCAAGGTGGCTCTGTACCGAGGTGCCCGAACACCTGGGCTCCCAAACTGTTGACTAGGTTCCCCTTGCTAAGTTGTCATCCTACTGGCAGGTCGTATTCATGTGTCCTTTACTTACTAGGTCGGGCCAAATCACCCCTCATCAATTGCTCCCCACTCCTCGTGCTAGGGGTCCTGACCTGGTGCGGGGAGTTTATGACGAGGCCAGGTGGATTTGGTATGATGTCTAGGTGGTACGGAGGGTGGACCTTTGGTTGCACCTGTATGACCGCTTGGCTCGACCAAGAAATGACCCAAATCACATATCAGGTGCACACGGATGCCACGCCGATTATAAACTACACAACAACCTAGTATACAACATTCCCTTAGGCAACTTTCCTTGGGATCACGGTCATGACGAGATTGTGGTCTTCGAGGAGCAGCTCGTAGCCAGGCTGCATTTCCTACTCCATCCCTTCATAGTTGAGATCGTCAAATTCTTTGACATCGCCATAGACCAACTCCATTCGTAACATTGTTAGTACCATCTCTCATCTCCCTTTTCCATGATTATAACCAACCCCTAGACCTCGACACCTTTTCCTCGATCCTTTCTATAAAGAAAAATTTGGCATGTGTAGTCCCCGAGCAAGGCGAAGCTATTACATGTCTCTTCGCCCTGAGTACAAATTGTTGCACGAGCTCCCAAACAAAGTCCCAGCTTGGAAGAGGTGTTATTTTATAGTCTATAACACTGAGGGGTAGCCGTTTCCAACTCACTAAAGGCCTGCCATCCAGGACCCCAGCATAAATTGGACCAAAAGACACGGGAGGAAGTCCGATCTTGGGTGAAGCTCGGGTTGAAGTTCGAGAACTTCGTCACCGAAGAGAAGCTCATGCAAGCCGGGCTAAGTCCTCCTAGTAGGTCGTCATCAAAACTGCTATAATTGTTTTCCTTGTCTTGTTTTATATTGATCTTGTACTTACTCTATTCGTCGCCTTTTGCAGCTGCCAGGGCTGACATCCCCGCTGAAGGGGAAGAAGAAGAAAAGGGCCTCCAAGAAGGCTCGTCTCCACGAAGAGACCACCACCTCCGACATCGGCACCACCGTCCCCGAGCACCCTCCAGTTGCCGAGCAGCCAGTGATCGACTTGGTTGAAGAGGACCAAGGTAAAGCTTCCCCGCCTCACTTGCCCGAGGAGACCACATCTTCCGAGCCCTAACACACTCAGGCGACCACTCCATCGAGTGGCGACACCTCAGCTTGGAGCATCTTGACTCCGAAGTTCGGTCTCCTCAAGAGCAAGGATGCGGTCTTCGCCGAGGAGGTTGCTCGTTGGGCTGATTTACCGGTCGCTCAGCTTGGGGCCAGAGCGGCAACTCACTGCATGGTGGTATTAGACAGTTTTGTATGCCCTTAGCTCCAATCAGTTTGATGTACTTATGACATTTATTGTAAATGAATAAAGTGCATATTTGATTCATGTTATGTGGTGTGTTTTTGTGTAATACCCTTAAAACCGGCCACTTATGAGACTTATGTTGGTTTAGAACGTTCACAGCCAGTGGGTCGATCTGGGGAGGCCTATCCTRATAAGGCTGACACTGATGTGCCGCCAAGTTGGTTAGGGTGGCCTGTCTCTGCCACCAGGGTGAGACCCGAGGTACATGCAGTGTGGGATCAGCTTGAGACCTTGAACCGGACCAAAATTCCAATATTTCCCTAGACCTTGGCAATTAGTGGGCAAAACTGGAATGTTACACCTAACCCTAGACTCGATTATGGTACCACACTAGGTGGCGGATTGGGCCATCTTTGATATGCCAAGCAGTGAGACCCTTAGAGGAGGTCAAAACCTGGGTATGTTGAGATGGTTCATGAACCCATCTGAGTGGGTGATCATAGTGACAGGATCAGCCCCTTTGTCGGTCAAAGGTAATGATCGGGGAAATGCACTCTCTCTGATGGAAACCAAAACTTCCGGTAGTTGATTTCAATCGTTGAAATTTTATTTTGCAAAATATATTTATGCGATATAATATATATTATAGGTTTTCGAAATTGTTTGCAAAAGGTTTTAATCCCCAGGGTCCGTGTAAGAGGAGAGTGCAGAGCTGTACCTTGTAGTCGGGGAGAGGTCCTCTCTTTTTGGGCAGTGTTTGATCATTATGGGCTGAGAGGTTAAGTGTAAGGCCATTGAGGGTTAAACCTGATGGGCTAATCTTACATTTGCCCACAGCCCTTGGGTGTTACAAGGTGGATTGGCCCAAGGACCACTTAGTGTAAGTGTTGGGCCCATAGAGTCCATATGATGGGCTCAAGGGGTTCACTGGGCTTTCCAATGAATTCGGATAGGCCTTGTGACAGAGGCTGGGCCGAACCCTTGTGGTTGATGTGTAGATCAACGTTTGTGTCCCACGCCATACAGAGAAAGCCCAACTAGGTAGCAATTTGGAAGGCTTAAGTTAACACTTACACTTAA